GGTGATTATAACCAAAATGTTTCCTAGAGAGCCAAGTATGATAACGGAAGCGAAAAAATACCATCCGACGTCAAAGTACAGAGGGTGTTCAAACAAGGTTGTATTCATTGACGCATTCATGGCAAAAAGAATTCACGAAAAGTAAGAAAATACGTGCAGCTGGATGACAGTCTGGTATATAATAAACGCCAAATACATGAATAATAAATATAAGACGTATATATATATATATACAGCAGCTGCTCAAAAAAGACAAAGACACGTATGAAGGGTTTCACCTAAAGGCCAAAGCCCTCGTTAGGAGCCGTATAAGTATATATGCCCATACGAATTTTCCTGACAAATGCCTATATATAGACCAAAAGTCGACTGTTTTTGTCAATCTTTTTAGGCAGTTGAGACATCACATTTAATAGAAGACACTGTCACGCTGCTTCTTGTTTATCATATGGGTAAATTTTATTTTGGTTTATAACACCTCTTTTCTTTTATTAAATATATTTAACAAAGGTTAAAGCTTTTTTTTGCTGTATAATACAATTGATTACAATACATTTTGAACGCTTTTTATAATCTAAAACTCCATACATTAAGGTTAACAGCCACCTCCACCACCTTGCCAAAATGGGGATGTAGCACCCAACATCCACGCACGCTACGCCCCTTTTTCCGAATAAAGGCCCAAGAAGACCCTGGGTACGAGGTTGACAAAGTCCTAGTATATATAGGTCGACGTGTTCCTGTCTTACACCACATTTGATGCAAAGTTATTAGAATACGCTGCCACGCAGCTCTTTGGTTACATACAGGGGGTGGGAAAAAAGTGGCCCCCAACGAAATGTGGCAGACCTGTATATAAATGAGTGTAGCGCGAATAACTATTATGTATTTACGCATATTCCTTTAGTTTTAGGAGCCAGATGATAACAATTGTGATTATAAAGTATAGAATAAGAAAATAAAATGCATTTGTAGCACTTTTCATAAAAATTCAAGATGGCGGTTTTCAAGCAGATATGGATGGAAATTATGTAATTGTTTGTCAAACAACTGTCTGATTCACAGCAAATTCTTCAGAAATGCAACTTATAATTTGAACAATGAAATAACTAATTAACAGAATTTGATTCATGAATCATGTGTAAAATTGTGCTTTAACGACACTAAATGACAGAATACACTCCTCTGAACTTTGGGTGTTTGTGTGCATGGTAATGAAAATGTACTCAATTACTAGGCTAGTTTTGTATTAAATTATATGAATCATCTTATGTATTATTAACAAAATGTAAAATATTGGGCGCTAAGTATACATGCACGAAAATTATTTTTTCACTGAATTTCAGCTGAAAAGCGCCTATCTTGGGTTTTAGTCTAGAAAACAACATCTTTTCTTACATCTTATATATTACTCTAAATCACAAGTGTGACTCACAAAGATGTAAAACTGTATGATTGAATATAGACAAACGGACATGGTTTGTTAGCGCCTTCTTCTCATAAAATTCAAACAACTGAAGTTGGTACTTTTCATCTTTCCGTCTATGACTAAGATATCATACTTCAATACGTAAAAGAAAAGGTTTAAGAAAATTAAACACCTAGCCATGGGTTTCGTTTGTTTCCGTCCGCATTGCACTGTTAGTAAATCTGCAGTTGCAAATTTTCTATCGATTAAACCTAATACTCTATTCAAATTTGCATCGCGGTACGAATGGAACTTTAAACGAAAATATTAACTGAAAACATATTGGCCGAAGCAAGATATTGTTGATATTTTTAAATTTCATAAATTTATGACAGAAATTAAGATGTTCTGATTTCTGAGAAGATCTTATATAACGACATTCTGTTATCATATACATTCATCTCTGCTCTTAACCAAATAAACATCTATCATCACAGTAACATTAAAAAACATCGTAGAATATGTTCTATAAATACACGGTATAATTATACTAATAACATTGGTATATTAATTTGTATATTACATAATAATATAGAAATTTCATATAAGAATTTTCATTAAATGCGGTATACCAACTGCCTTATATAGATAAAAACACTTCTCAACGTCTCAACTATAAGGGCCCTTGTCAGGAGAGTTGGTGCATATATATGCTTAACTTCCCTAACAAAAACATCGAAGAGTGCTGTTTATTTTAGGCAATATTTTACGCTGCCACGCAGGTTCGATTTGTTTTTATTTTGATATATTCGTAAGCATTCTTTCTTTATTATAATATTTAACAAACGTTAATATTTTTTTATTCTACAAAACAGTTTAAAATTTGAACGCATTTTTTTATCTAAAACTCCATACATCAAAGGGTTAACAGCCGACACTCCAAAATAGTAAAGGACAAAAATCCATTTGTAATAAGCCGTCAATTCCACCGCCCCAAATGTGTATAAAGTGAAAGCAATCTGCTGTGGAAGGCCGGCCACAAAAAAACAAATAAAAATGGCGAAACTTATTACAAACGCTCCCGCATTTCTATGATGAGCCAGTCTTTGAAAGATCGAACGTTCGGTTTCCAAGGTTATCAACGACGCGTTCATGGAATGGATCATTTTACTCTGTTTTACGAGCTTACTGCAAATTTTCCAATATACCACTCCAAGAAATGTGGCTGGAATGAAGAACTGGATGGATGAAAGAAGGACATAGAAGCTTGCTTTCAGCCTATGTGATGTCCAATTCTCAGGACAGGAATCAGGCTGTTCAAAATTACGAGCCAGCACAATCGGGATATAACAAAGAGCAGAAAAAACGTATATCGCCGCAGATAGGAAGTGCAGTTTCGATCGACTCACCGTGGGTCGCAGGGGATAAAAAACAGCACGATAGCGAAGAATCGACATTAGAACCATGAAAAGTACACCCGCTACGCAAAAAGTTCGAATTAGCACCGACAGCTTACAAGCCATATATGAAGCGAGCAGTAGCCTTCCCGTCGATAATTCGTAGTTGTATCTGATAGTACCGAGCAAGTTGAGTAGATCGCATATGGCAAGATGTAACGTCACGTAATAATGATTCTTTCTCAGCAAGTTTTGCCGACACACGGTGAATATTACCAAAATATTACCAATGGAGCCAAACGCGATCACGGATGCGAAAAAATACCCGACATCAACGTACAGAGGTCGTGCAAACAAGGTTGCATTCGGCGAGAAACTCATGACAAAAAGATTCAAAAACAACTCCCAGCGCCAGCGGAGAGCAAGAAAACAAGATGCAGCTCGTTGGCTAGCGTGTAAATATCGTGTAATTTTACCAAAAAGGCGATCAAGCCGTTTCTATTTGCCGCAATTACAATGCATTAATAGTCATTATAGTACGCAATAACTATCTGTCAGAATTTTATGTCAAAGTTAACCTCAATATAATTGAAATATTCATATAAATTCATAATCATTAATCAGAGCGCTCATAACACATTCTTACTTAATACCTTTATTTTATCTATAATTTATATTTTGCATTGCGTTGAAACTCTATCGTGAAATTCAAGGTCGTCCCCAAATCTTTTCATTTAAAAATAAATACATGGTTTAAAACTAACTTGAGGCATGTAGTATAAATTATACAACATGGGTGTGGTGTATATTGAAACCTGTAGATACAACTGACTACACATTTCGCAGCTACGTAATGCAAAATCCTCAAATGCGATTTTGTTCGTCTAATATTACTTTTTCAAGCATACGGCGCCTAGTGGGAGCGTGACTAAAAATATGAATGCCCAGCCTTAGGTTACACAACGTCTAAATTATCTGATGAGTGGCACATCGGTGGTACGAAACTAATAGTAGTACTTAAAGATGCTAAGTACAAGTTTTGAGTCGTTATTCTCAATTTATATAAAGCTCTGGTTTTCCATTAGGCACTTTGTTAAACGTTTTCATAACAACTATATATATATATATGCATATACAGTGGCGTAGCCAGCCTGACAATTTTGTCTCGCTATGTAAATTTCAAGATATTAAAATTATTCATGTCTTTAGGGTACCGTGTCATATCGTTTCGCACTCTTGTCATTTCGTACCCATATCCCTGGTCGTTTCGTACCCCGATTTTAGTCGTTTCGTACTCAAACGCTATATGACTGCTTTTATTGCAATCAGTTCAGGATATACCTTAAAAATAATGGATATAAAGTGCGTATCTCGTAAAATAAAATAAAAATGTCAGAATTTAAGATTAGAAAATCGATTATTGTTATACATCGCACAATTCTATGGCGTCATACATCCGTCAAAATTCAACTTCGTTATATTATGTTGAACATTCTTTGTTTTATTGGACTTTTTGCAAAATACAAACTTGAATGTAAAAACAAACATGAATTTAAAACACAAAGATGAATGTAATACACAAATATTATCATAGCAGGACAAATCGACAGGCTGGCTACGCTACTGCATGCATATATATAACGTCAACTATTTACCACCTTACAATTACTACCTTTTTAATAGGTAGCTATAGTCAAATATGGCAAAAATATAGTTGGCAAATATAATTTAATAAACATCATTAGTATGGTAGCAATTGAAAACCACCTACTAATATATTCTGGGTTTTTTTGAAAACACCATACAAAAAGTTATTATAGAATAAATTAAGATGGATCCCTATATATCATTGTGACACATCCTTAGATACCTAAGTAAGTTTTTCTGAAGGTTACAGTGCACTTTTTGCTGAGGCTGCTGATGCAATGGCTTTTGTTTCATTGCAAGTCATACTGCAGCATATCTAAAACCTCAGCCAATTGTAACATGTATGACTGGGGTAAAGGAAGGAAACTAGGATGCAAGAAAACTTCTATTTGTCCTAACTTGAATTTTACAAAAATTCTGGCTTTTTAACTAGAGCAATTAAGTAGAATGGCAGGTGTATATGAATTCATTAAAAGATATTACTACAAATGCATAGCTAGCATATGCATATCACCTAAAAAAAGGTATAAAGATAAACATTCTCTTACCTTCAATTGCAGATGCAGGTGATCGTGCCCAGCGTTTAATGCAATAAAGATGAAATATATGGAAGCAGTTTGAACATGACCAGATCCCCTTGGAACAACGGATCACCTCACAACAGACCATGCACTCATACTTTTCTTCAGTCAGTTGTTCAATCAGCACACCAGCTTGCACAGATGATTGGCCTCCTGATTTTAGATTAAAAACCTGAAAATTTGCTCTCAACTTTCCTATGCAAGATGGCGATTTCTTGTTTGCATGTCCTCTTAAGTGATTTGAGTAGCCAGATTTCTCTCGAGATGAATGTAAATGTCCTTTACGATGATGAGTTGAAGCTAATGACTCATCATTAGGAACAACATCGTTACTCACAAATTGTTTTCTTTGGGAGCCCTGAGCTCTGTTCTCTAGTTTATATTTTGGCACATAAATACCATCACTAACAGTCCCATGGCTTTCGAAAGGTGTTTGCGTGTCCATGGCCATTAGATTGGGAACTTGAGATGATGTTGCTGAAATACTTGTTTGATTAACACGTTTCCTAGCATAACGAGATTTTGAACTTGAATAATGGTCTACTCTCTGGCCTCTTCCATATTGATACTGGTTGTTTCCTTGAGATTTTGTATTCCCTTTTCCATGCCAACTTGTTTGCTGTGTAGAAACAGGTCCTTTTATAACTTCTCTAGCTTTTAAGTCATTCTTTGAGTCCTCTTCCAAAGCATGAACACTTTGCCTCATTTCCCCAAATGCACTTCCAAGCTTTTCTTGTTCTTTGGCATGTTGCCTACTTCGTCTAGTCTTACTTTTGGGTTTTCTATCAAACACATTTACTTCTTCCTTTCTACCCAGTTGATCCTTCTTGGATCTATATTTTGAGCTGCTGCTGGAATTACCTTGCCTATCTTTGGAATAATTATGACTTTGGGAAGAACCTCTGTTTGTTCTATCTGCACCATTTTGCCCATCAGGAACCTCGGCTTGTGTTTGTGGTTCTGATGAGCCAGCTTCAGCCATATTCAAGATGAAAGTTCAAAAAGCTGAAGAATATGAAATCCATAAGTACTATCACATGACTGCACAAATAAAGTACCAGATGACTCGGCTTTATATTTAATTTTAATTTTTAAAACTGTTTGTAACTTAATTGTACAACATCTCAAAAATCTCCATCCGGCTTCAGCGATCGCTACATAAAGTACTTCATTTATTCCATCCACCAAACTGACGTCACCTTAAGATAACAACGCATACCTGGGGCGCAGCGCGACTATTAAACTAGTGGGAGCAACCCTGAAGTTTTACCATGCAACGACACGTGACACTTTTGGTGCGTCAAAAAAAAGCATAATAGCCTTTTGGTAGGTTGGTGCAAGGTTTAATTCGAATCATTTATCATAAGATATTAATATACAGTATACACAGTATATACAAACATCCACAGACTTAAACTGTAGCATGTATCACTGGTAAATAAGATTGATTGGACATTATATGCAAAACTTCAGTTGAGAATCTATTTCATTATCGCAAGCAACTAAGCCAGTTTCTACTTTTTACAAAATGCTACTTTTTACTGACGTTTGCGTGCTTTACCGACCGACGTCACCGTCACCGTCACCGTCACTCGACCATGGTCGAATACGCAATTTTTCGCCGGACTCGACAATGGTCGAATACGCCATTTTCCGGCGGACTCGACAATAGTCGATAACGCCATTTCCGGCGGACTCGACCATGGTCGAATACGCAATTTTTCGCCGGACTCGACCATGGTCGAATACGCCATTTTCCGGCGGACTCGACAATGGTCGATAACGCCATTTCCCGGCGGACTCGACCATGGTCGAATACGCCGTTTTCGGGTAGACTCGACCATGCTCGAGTACGCCATTCTCCGGCGGACTCGACCATGGTCGTATTTGCAATTTTCTGGCGAACTCGCCTATGGTCGTATTTGCCATTTTCTGGCGAACTCAACCATGGTCGTATTTGCCATTTTCCGGCGAACTCGACCATGGTCATATTTGCCATTTTCCGGCGAATATGACCATGGTCGTATTTACCATTTTTCGGCGAATATGACCATGGTCGTATTTGTCACTTTCCGGCGAATATGACCAAGGTCGTATTTGCCATTTTCCGGCGAATATGACCATGGTCGTATTTGCCATTTTCCGGCGAATATGACCATGGTCGTATTTGCTATTTCCTGGCGAATATGACCATGGTCGTATTTGCCATTATCCGGCGAATATGACCATGGTCGTATTTGCCATTTTCCGGCGAATATGACCATGGTCGTATTTGCCATTTTCCGGCGAATATGACCATGGTCGTATTTGCTATTTTCTGGCGAATATGACCATGGTCGTATTTTCCACTTTCCGGCGAATATGACCATGGTCGTATTTGCCGTTTTTCAGCGAATATGACCATGGTCGTATTTATCACTTTCCGGCGAATATGACCATGGTCGTATTTGCCATTTTCCGGCGAATATGACCATGGTCGTATTTGCCATTTTCCGGCGAATATGTCCATGGTCGTATTTGCCATTTTCCGGCGAATATGACCATGGTCGTATTTGCCACTTTCCAGCGAATATGACCATGGTCGTATTTGCCATTTTCCGGCGAATATGACCATGGTCGTATTTGCCACTTTCCGGCGAATATGACCATGGTCGTATTTGCCATTTTCCGGCGAATATGACCATGGTCGTATTTGCCATTTTCCAACGAATATGACCATGGTCGTATTTGTCACTCTCCGGCGAATATGACCATGGTCGTATTTGCCATTTTCCAGCAAATATGACCATGGTCGTATTTGCTATTTTCCGGCGAATATGACCATGGTCGTATTTGCCATTTTCCGGCGAATATGACCATGGTCGTATTTGCAATTTTCTGGCGAACTCGCCTATGGTCGTATTTGCCATTTTCTGGCGAACTCGACCATGGTCGTATTTGCCATTTTCCGGCGAACTCGACCATGGTCATATTTGCCATTTTCCGGCGAATATGACCATGGTCGTATTTACCATTTTTCGGCGAATATGACCATGGTCGTATTTGTCACTTTCCGGCGAATATGACCATGGTCGTATTTGCCATTTTCCGGCGAATATGACCATGGTCGTATTTGCCATTTTCCGGCGAATATGACCATGGTCGTATTTGCCATTTTCCGGCGAATATGACCATGGTCGTATTTGCTATTTTCCGGCGAATATGACCATGGTCGTATTTGCCACTTTCCGGCGAATATGACCATGGTCGTATTTGCCATTTTCCGGCGAATATGACCATGGTCGTATTTGCCATTTTCCGGCGAATATGACCATGGTCGTATTTGCCATTTTTCGGCGAACTCGACCATGGTCGTATTTGCCATTTTCTGGTGATCTTCATCATTAAATAATCGAGCAATAATCATTCAGACAGGAGAGAGATGATATCTACGCCTATTATTAGCCGTGGGTATTGCTTTATGGTGCACACGCGGTGGGTGGTTGGAATATTTGCAAATGTTTGTTGTGCAATACAACTATAACATATCAAAATCTAAGTTAGTCTTTCCTCGAAGTAATGAAAGTTTTTTAATTGAGATAACTATTCTCTAAAGGGAGCTATTTTCAAACAAGCAGGATTACTTTTTTGGAACACCCGGTATATTTACTTTAAGATGACTCAGCAACTATATACATAATACTATATACATAATTGCGATTGTAAGCGATTGGATAGATTAAACATGACTATCTTGGAAACTCTTGAACCTCAGGCTTCTTCTCACTTTCTCTTTCACTTTAGGAGCAAAGAACGTATATATTACAGGATTTATTGCAGCGTTTATGGGAAAGAGACATACCGCTGACCAGGCATGTATTGTTTTCACATGGGATGTTAATCCGCCAAGAGACAGGAATGTGAAAAGGACAACAGGGATCCAGCAACAAAGATTCGTCATCACAATGCCAAACATTCGCTTGGCAAGATAGGAGTCCTCCAATTTCCGTGGCGTGCTATTCCTTATAGCATTTTTCCGCAATGATATGTACATCCTTGCGTAACATATCGTAACATATATGCATAAAATGGCATTGACACCGCCAAATAAACCCAAGCAATACTCCCAACCAAGGACCTCTTTGTTTTCGTCTGGTAGTTGCAACGGGAGACACACGCTATTTTGGCCGTAGAACTTCCTATAATTCGAGTTGAAATACCGTGGTAAGATAGCTGGAAACACAGCAATTCCTACGCCGAAAAACCACGCAAAGATTACAATAGCCCGGCTGCTTTTTCTCCCAAATGTTTTAAATTTTGTACCAGCATAGGTGATGGACCAACACCTTTCGGCTGTAATAGCCGTTATCATGAACAACGACACTTGGCTTGAAATTAGGGAGATGGCACCTGCGACAGTGCAACTTTTGCTCGACCTCCATTCCTCATCGTACTCAAAATATCTTCCTTTGTATGTCACGTTTTTATAACCAATGATGAAAAGGTAGACGCTCATTAGGATATCGCTAGCAACCAAGCTGATTATGAATAAGGTTTGCAGGCCCTGTGTATCCAAATTGAATCTCACTATGATCACGCCAAGGTTTCCGCACGCAACCAATATCGCCACAATCCACACGAACACTTCGAGAAAGTTGTTCTTCAGAAGTTCACTGCAACTCGAGAAGACATCGATGGGAGCGGAACAATTTATATTCGGATTTATGTTTTTGGCGTGGCAGCAATGGGTAAAGTGATCCGTGTATCTGTAGAGGATTAGAGATTTATTTAAACAATCACACTTATCGCAGATGTATAAAATGAGTCGCGAGAATAATATATACTTATTTAATCCGGGCCTACATGTACTTACAGTAATTTCAAGTGTCGTAAATGAAGAAGAAATTTCTCTTCAAAATGTCTTATTTTATTCTTCGAAATATCTCTGCGACGTAATAAAGAAATCGAACAGTTAGTGACCTAAAAATCAAACTTACTATGCTACTTAAACCAGAGCTTCACATGCAATTAAAGAAAAATGTCATTTATATTAACATATACCTAAAAATGTGTCAATGCTTTTGACGAAATTGTATTAACAGGTTTGATTTAATATTATGCTCGAATATAACACATTTCAACTCTATTTGACGAAAGCAGTAATGACTATATATAGTTACTTACAGAACAGTTAGCTCGGTCAAGCCATTCATCATTTCAGAAGTAATGGAATCTAGTTGATTTCCTGACAAATTTCTGCAGATAAGGGGATCATAATAGGGAATATTACGTTTAGCAGGCTATAGTCGTACATGAATGAACGCTGATGGCTAACGGGAAGCTATCACTATCAGCATGACGAGAGCGTATTATATAATTGTTTTATAATATAGCTATAATATATATCCAATAATGGTCAGCCTTTATAGTAAATTCTCATAAAAAATCTCACTGTATTATTGGCTGTTCTCATTACAAGGCCAATCACATTGCATAACAGCTCGTATATGTTGAGGTGCTATATTACAATTTTCGTTATACGCTTATTACACGGTACCTTGTTATCAAACATACTTACAGATAACGAAGTTGTTTTGCAAACGAAAACAAATTTCGTGGTAAAGTTGAAATGCGATTCCCAGATAAGTCCCTGAAATATCGAGAAGAATATCGTTAAGCATGCATGTGTTCTCTATTCAGACTTATAATGGCGTCCAATGGCAATAAATTAATTTTCGCATCATAATTTAACCTATTGTTAATTTGCATGCAAGATGAAAAGGTCCATCGGGGCAAAGGTCCTTCACATTTGTATATCTCTGTTAAGTCTGTTTTAAGGTGTAAAGTAGTTTGACCAGACTTACAATACTCGTAGATATTTTGTATAAAAGAACAAGTCCTTTGAAAGCATCGATATTCGATTGCTTGATAAATCTCTGGAAAATAATGAAAAAAAAATTAAAACAGGCTTCCATGGTGATAATCAGCAATAAAAATTTTGCAAAAAAAACATCCTTGTTTGCGAAGTTGGAACAAAATTGGACAACCAAAACAGACGGGCTGATAGACTTCACACAAATAAGGTCAAAAGGCCCCAGTGCCAGCTTAGCGACAAGCCTACCCTATGCTGTAAATGCTTTTTTAAATTGCGTTATGAAGTATTGATATAATCGTTCATGCTTTGCTTTCATAATTAAAACTAGTTCTGCATTTTGTTAGACTCACAGTGTTTGAATGTATGCAAATTCCCGAAGATGGACCTTGTTCACATTATGAATGTTGTTTTTCCCAAGCAAATACCTGTAAAAATAGATTATAATAACTTGTAGCTAATTATTTTATAATTGCATAATTCCAAATTGACTAGGCTTTTAGAATTGGCGCCCGTTTTAAGGGCACCTATGATACCTGCAATACAGGCAAGCTTCTGATAATGCTTTACCTTTGCAGGGAATGTGAAACAGCGTTGAAATGTTTTGGCACAGAATTTTGCCAAATTGCATAACCTCAGATAATTTTCTTGTCTTATGATAAAAATGGTAAAAATCATCATACTATAGTACTGTGCACTAAAAAATCCTTCTTTTATCAAAGTTGTATCATTCTCTTCAGAATACGCTTGTCACACATCAGTCGGAAATGCTTTTACAACGATTTTCATGCAGATGTCTCTAGGCCGTAATATTATGTTAATCAGTCGATTAATTCTGTACTAGTGCATATTCTTGCTTCTGATCATCTGATGCAAGTTTATGCTTACCACGACTCAGGAAACAAATTAAAAATGTCTACGCACTTACTCTTTTACATTCTCAGCTGTGTAGTTACTCGGAACCCACGGCATCCAATTCAATTTTTTCTCATTACAGTTCACAGTGCTAGTTTCACATATGCACGCTTTGCAAAGCGCCTCACCTGGAACAGAATAAAGATGTCGACCATTCTTAATAAACTTCTATGTAAAAACGGAATCAATTGCAATTTGTCAATCTTCAACAGGAATGAACATAGATATATCTATGTTCGGGATAGCAAACGGCATAGCAAAATCCGGAACTAATACTCTTTGGATGTCCATGCAGAGAACGAGGTTAATATAAGTTCGTTTAATTTAAATTTGCATCTGACTATTTTTTAGAATACTTACCATCTACAGTACAACGTACACCAGAGGATTTTGCGTAGTTCGTAGAATTTGTTTTCTCTTCTTTCTGGATACATTCTGATAGGTCTCCTTCGTTACCATGGCAACTAAAGTCGACCGATAAAACTGTTTCAGTCAGTTTTGAAAGCGTACGCGTGTAGATTTCGGAGGCTCGGTCATAGCCCAAGTAATGGCATACAACATTGGCTTCAGCTTCACTCCAGTGACTGTCGCTTAGTCTCCACCATTTCCCATTCCGATAAATTTCAACAATTCCGTAGTGGACACTTCTGTTAATGTCTTGCGAGTCTGCGTTGACTAAACGAATAGCTATAAACCCAAAAATTAATAGAAAATATTTTCTGGTTTCACGTTCAACAAGATGACATGAATTCGATTGCAAATTTATACTTGCTCTATGCATATTATCTAAAACAGAAACGTGCTGTCATGCAACCAACTGGTAATAGTTAACACATAACATAAACGTTTAGCAAAAAGCGTTCCAGAGAACGCCTGTTTGTTCTATTGATTAAATTTTCATTTTGAAATTTTACGGATGTCGCACATCCACGCACACCTCGGAATGATATGCATGTCTCAAATGCCTGTCTATTGTTTTCGCCAGCTTCTGCATACTAAAAGCCTCACTTACTAATACTACAGACAACTTAATCTTAGCCTACCTTTCTGACATGTTAGCCCAGCAAAATTGGTGGTTCCGCCATCATATGTTTTATACATTAGTTTATCAGTTCCACTCCAAGTCTTTATGGTCGTAACCAATTGCTTTTCTTTTGTTTTGAAAATCCAAATTCTCGATGCTCCGGGGTATCCAAGGACTTTGCACACTTTTTCTTGATATTCCGGCTTTAGCGAATATTTAAAAATTCCAAACCATCGATTCTTGAGCAAAATCTCTACTTTACCTGAATAAGGCTTCCCACCACTCAGACGGAATGCTTGAGATAAAAAAAATAAGATGATATGACTCATGGTCAGCAAATCAAACATGATCGTTGATGAGAAAAACCGACTCTTCTCTGACATCCTCCTATGGCTTGTGTTGTTGCTGTGAAGCCTAGTGTACGCTTAGTCTGCATCAGACCGTTTACGCAGTACTCATACGCACTTTGTGTTAAAGCATGGGAGATTGGAAGCTAACAGCCTTTCACTAAAAGCTGGCTAGCTAAATCAAGCTTGCTTTTTACAAACGGTGGAATCTTCCTTAAAGTAACCGTTAATCATATCCTTACTTTGAGCGTAACAACGAATGTGAAGATCCTTCCCATCATTGCATTTGGTAACATTTTTTTCAGCTGGATGGCATTCAACTTGAATTTCAATTCCATCGGCATAACCCATTCTTTGGCAATATTCTGTAACAGTATTCAATTGTTTATGTTGGTCAAGACAGATTGGCGACCAGATCCCATTAATAAAACGTTCTATTCGCCCCTCGTCCGTCGTTCGACCACTCCTGAGACGAAAATCTAAAAAAAATTGGCTATATGCAAGCGGGGATCGTTTTCGAGAGTTTGTATAAAATCGTTTTCGTTCCCGCTTTATGTTTGTGTTTGTGATACCTTAATGTTTGCACTATCCATAAAAATGTTGTGATAAATCGATAGTGAGTGCATGATTGCATTTATTTTGTCATCAAAACACGAATTAAAAGATCAAAATCGTTACGGTCTTCAGGTAATCTCAGTACTTTAATCGTATGAAACCGTTACAGTAACTGTTAGTCTTGGTGTGTCTTGTTGAACTTATGAGGCATGCCAATATTCTTTTTTTTGGACTAATTTGCGTTAACTAAATTTATCTACCGTGATTAATTTGTTGCCGATAAAGCTTTGGTCCTTATAATAGCTTTATTTCCTTACTTGGAATGCATTCCAAAGCAACTTTCCAGCTTGATAGACTTTCATCCTTCCGTTTTAGCCATGGACCTCGTGTACAGTCTAATAGCTTCTTCTCGCTTCCCTTACACCGCACTTCTTTTAACCACAAAATTGTATCTTCACTCGATATGTCTGCTTTTACCAGTTGAAACCTTTTTACACCTGGTTTATTCAATTGACGACACACCACCTGAGCGTTTTCCATGGTCCAGTTATCTCCGGCAACATTGCCCCATATTCCCTGGTGCATTATCTGTACTTCTGTTATGAAATTTACTTTGGAATCGACAAGGGACCGAGCGGAAAGTTGATTGAGGCGAACATCTGAAATATCAAATTTTTGTGCTATGTTGAAAAGGCAAAAAGACAGATTCGAAAACTACAGGGTAGTTTGAGTGTGTGTCAACGTTTTGTTTTGTCGAATCTCGCCGGATTTATTAATTTGTTTACCTCCTTCTTTGCCGTCGCATTTAACTTCCACCGGTCCATCATTGCAGAATACCTCATCATTTTCCTCATGAACACAGTCGGAGAACCTTTCTTCCTTTCCAGTGCAACCAATCCTATTTCTTAAATATGCATTATTTGTACTTGGCAAACTTCCCGTTAGTCCTTTGTGTACTGCATTTAAATATCCAAGTTCTTTACAAACGACATTGGCTTCAACTAATGTCCAGTTTTTCCGGCATACTTTTTTCCATGAATTGTTATAATACACTTCCAACCTGCCTTCGTTCGTATGCATAGAATCAACAATCCTAACATCTATAATATAAAAGTGCAAGTATATACCAGTTAACCAGATATATCATATAAGTTTTTTTTATATACATTTCATGCACTTACTGATCAACATTATTTCAATTGAAAATTATTTAAGAAAGACACCATGCTGCCAGCTTTCATGTAATTGCGGATCGTAACAGTCAGAGATGTTAATGTTTGCCAAACACGTGTAAAAATTTTGACCCTCATGGAAACCAGGTTGAAAAGTTGAAGATTTGAACTTACTTATTTTGCAAATAACACCCGCATCATAGACATGCTTAAGGCTCTTTGAATAAACTGTGTTCCATTTGCAATCTTGTAACTGACTTTCGGTGCCATCACACCCGATCTCTTTTGTCCATATTGTCTTCCTCCATGCGTTTGGAACTTCTTGTATGTTTAACGGTTTGAGTGCATCACGGTAACCCAGTTGACGACACACGACCTTTGCTTCACTCAAAGAGAAATTATTATTTCTTGTCCAGCTTATGTAATCATTCACTGTACCCCAAATTCCTTGATGAAGCGCTTCGATTCTACCAGCATGAGGACGATCCAATCCTCTCAATCGTATTGCTAAAAAGAAAAAAGTTTAGGCGTAGTTTCTTCTAATTCGCGCTCTGTTATGCAAATCATAGCTGCGATAATTTGATGGACGTAATTAAAGAACATAAACGTTTGCAACAATACATCACTGACACTTCTCATCCTTATTTTTCATCATCAGTTACGTAAAATACTCTCGATACTATTTTTCAAACTGAAAGAACGCAATTTTTTTTTATGAATGAGTGAACGTTTAGAATACACGTGAATGTCTGCATGTAATAAATGTGGGCAAATTGAGAAAGAGAAAACATAGCTAGTGAGGCCTTAATTTCTCAGACCGTCTGGTAATGCTTTATGCTTGGGGTTGAGCAGCAATTTTTTTTTGGACATACATTTCCTGTTTTGAATAAACATAATTGTTGAAAAAAAAGTATTTTAAATACTAAAGAGCTTACATTTCCCTTTACACTTGACATGTGCTAAACGTTTACAGGCCAAAGTTGGACGATAAGTGGTGCGACATTCCTTCACATTGTTCTCCTTTCCAGTACACTCGAAGGTATTCCTCCAAACTTTTGTTTTTTCGGTAACCGATGTAAAATAATGCTCCACGTCAGATCTCCTATTGTAGCCCAGTTCCGAACATACTGCTCGAGAATTATTCATGTTCCAGGTGTCCCCACAAGCGTAATACCACGTTTTACTCCGGTAGACCTGAACTGCCTCTTGGTGTAAACTATCGAGCCGTATATCTGAAGAAAGGGTATAAAGTGCATTGTATACATTTTACTATTGCATTTAAAATAGGTCATCACCCGCGCTTTAGTAGAAATTGTAAAAACATGTACAACGTTGCATTCAGCTACTATATAGAGGTCAGCTGAGAAAAAGCGATATAGGCCATTACATGATGATGTAACTACTGGTTTTTGTATTTGCAACTACACGCATGCGCATGCATTACTAGCTATAGGAAACCGAGCTATAACTTTGTTTAAGAGTAGAGTGATCTTACCTTGTTCACAGATGAGAGCAACCTGAGCTATAGAGGGAAAATAGTGAAGTTCTTTTGCTTTCGTTGGGCAACAAACTAACCTATCTTTCATATTCTCACACCCAAAGTTGTTATAGCCATTAACATTATGATATTCACTGTGAACCAAGTTCTTTACTAGTCCTGGAAATCCGAGCGTGGTGCAAACCAAACGACCTAACTCCTCGTTCCAATATTTTACACGAAGAATCTTCCATTTTTCTTTGTGTTTTATCGCTACTTTTCCAGAATGACGATATTCCGATTCAACGAGAGTAAGATGGATTGCTGAAAATGCAGTTTTAAACAACCATTTAAACAACTAATAAGTTAGCGTTGATCATATTGCCACCCTCACTTCCACAACACTGTTTATGAGTTATGACATATAGCAAGTATCGCCCTTCAAGCTGCTTGTCAACAATTATACAACTGTACTTTAGGGCATGGCATTAAAACTCAGCAAACTTACGCTTCGAGTCACATGTTATAGGTTCTGGATTAGGTTCTAAAAACGGAGAGCAAGAGATGATTAATATCCTTGCTAATTACTAATTTTCATTTGAAGAAGCCGCCTAGCTTCGTTGAAACACTATAGTCTCATCTACGTACAGTATACTGGTTAATATGCACAATTTCCATAATTTTATTTCTTAAAACGTTTGCTATCAATTACTTTCCTGGGAATGACCACAATTTGTCAATTCTTTCCTGTTTCATATCGTAGGTCATATGAAACAGAAAAGACATGTCTTGAATTGTTGTAAGGAACTTCTTTATTATTAAAACCTTTGATATATAACTACTTTAATTTTAATCCTGATTAAAAATAATCACTGAACATGTTAATAATAGACACTCAATCATAGAACAGCAACTAACCGCATTTTACCCAGACTAGACGGAAATCATCTGTTTTATTCACTAGTTCCCAACTTCTATGTTGACAATCGATCAATCTTTCTTCCTTGCCAGTACATGTTATAGCTTGATTTTGGATTGGTTTTCGTATTATTTCAGTCGCATTAAACTTAATAAAGTAGTTAAATGGTCTTGTAAACCCAAGCTCTCTACAGGTTACCCACGTTTTTGCAACACTGAAGGTTTGCATCTCCCAGAAACGCCAGGTTCCATCAACAAGCACCTGAACATACCCTTCTGTAGCATTGGTTGGTAGGCCAGTGCTTTCATCCACCAAACGCATGGAAAATCCTGTAGCAAATGATTTTGATTCGTGAATTATTGGAAGAACCAACAGTCAGATCGTTTACTCTTGACAACCTCAGACTTTCACATGCAGTAGATGGTACAGACAACTAGATGTTTGCTGATAAGAATGCAACCAGTGTTAAAGTGAAAGTCTAGTCCGTATGTAACGAATGCTGGAAACGAATGGTTTGTTTTACATTGTGAACTTCTATACTTTTTGAAATACGTTGTGTTGAATAAATTACACAGCTGAATTTCAAATTAAAACACCTTAATAACAACGCTATTTGTTTTGGATTTCAAAAGAATATTTTCAAATAAAAATTACCAATATAATTACGATTTTAAGCTGTAGTAATTTATCCCTATCCTTATAGATCCGCCACTGGACCAGATAATGAGGTGTAAAAGAAAAACTCACCTGAAGCTATTGTAGGCAGCCAGAGATGAATACACACGGTAATTAAAGCCATTATCATAGTCTCTTTAAGTGCAAGCATTTTCTACAACTGTGCAAGAATATTGACATGTCTCATGTGGAACAATAAGCGCACTCTGAATTCTGAAGGGATATACACTATAATTATATACAGATTACTCTATATAGCTCTCTCGATTAACAGCTATTGTCTCTTTCGTCTAAATGTTTAACGCTTTTTTCGTGCATGCCCTAATGATGGCGATGAATCAGATTCGTATAAACCTCACTTGCATATTTAGGTGAAATTTAAATGAAAACGCCATGGTTTTTTCTCTATAAATATAATTTATACGGAGGTCGGCCGCATGTATTTGCGGTCAATTATAAATTACTTAAAAACTCACGAATACGCATTAAATAATACAGAAAACTATTTTCACAATAAAAATTGTGATATTTTTTTAGATAAACTGATCGGAGTTAACATACCTTCGACCTTGCTCCTAGATGCAATCCAAATGGTGTTTACAATGAAAAATCTGCCTTCAACATTTTAATTCACAAGACACGAAACAAAATGGACGTACAATATAGATGCGTGTCTTTATACTGCTTATTGTCGTTTAATTTATTTACTTTGTTTTAACGATTACTGTAGAAGTTGACTTATCGCTTCATTATAACTATAAGTATAGCTATAAATAGGGACGTTGAATTGCTGCAACTTGAGCACTGACTGACAAAGACTTGCTTATATATAAGACTGCATGATATACATGGTGGATTGTAAGTAAGGCGTTATTGTCTTTATATAATCGCCGGGAACAAAAATTTCTTTATCTTTGTAAAGGGATTATATAAGCACAGCTGCATGCATATAGATATTAGCCACATGTCAGCGATATAGTATGAGCAATTTAAGACACTATAAGGCGTAACATTTGAGTAGCATTTCCTGTTTATCCATTTTCCTAGCTTATTCAATAGTTTAGCTGTTACATAATTCAATTCTTACTGAACCACTATTATATTAGAAATTGACAGAAATGCAGAAATTGACCATCCTTGTTCCTTGAGCACAAAACTATCCGTAAAATTATCATTTGCCAAGTCAGAAGGATGAGAAGGCTATTTTTTATGGGAGAGATTTCAAAAACAGTGAAAAATTTAGAAAAAGCATGTACAGACTGCATGCATGCAGTTATTTTTAGCTTACTGAAAACCGTATATATATAGCTACTGAGAATCGATGGTATAACTATAACTATAACTTTCCAGAGTTTTATGAAAATTCATTATTATTAGTTTAATGATAAAACTAAAATGTGATATAGCTATGGGTGGGTCGGCGATTGACAATACATTTTGTCAAGGATACGAAAATGTAAGCCTAGTTCACACTATAGCTCCTAAGAATCAAGGATTTGTTGTATTATTTTCCGATAGACAAAGCATTTTGCACACTACTGTCACTAGTGACCTAATGCAGACAAATTCAGACAAAGCATGTTAGGAAATATCAGATTCTTAATAGGACAAATGTGCATCAGATTTTAGTCTTACAGTTCATATCGGGCACCCATGCTGGCTGTTGTGGATACAAGTCTTTTTACAGCTCACCAGAGCTGCAGAATTACACAAAAACTGAGTAACGCAAACCGTGGAGGGAGTTTATAATTGTGATTAGAAATAAGAAATGAGAAAGCATTCTTGCAGCATGCATGAGAACGAGGAAGACTATTTTTTCTGCAAAATATACACGTTTTTAGCCAAATTCTCTGTATAAGACTGTTTAACGAGGACATAACGATAGTGTACCCTTTGTAAACAGAAAGAATCTCTTTTTTTCATATAAAGCATTAAATATAACGTGATGTGGATCTGTATTGTGAATTTTGAGCAGGGGGATGCATGATGTAACCACGCATGCAGTAGAATTACATAGGACGAAAAATATTTTTAACTGTATATAGCAAACGTACCTATAGGAATATATTTACAAATTTACAACAATAATATGATCCGAATTACGCATATATTTTCGTCGCGAATAGAAATTCTTTCACATAATTCAGGATAAATTCAACCCTACTGCAAGCATATGTCAGTATTTAAATTAATGCGACTACACGATGCAACGGAAATCATATTGTTTTCAGAGAACAAAACCCCTATAACGAAGCTACATATAATAATATACACGTGTTTCCGTGACTGTCAGTGAACTTTTCTAGTGACTTTTCTACCTGCTGTTTTCCACATGTGCAGCGCTAGCAATTATGTTTAAATTTAGAAATCCACGGCCATGCAATTACGAAGCGTTGTTTGCACGTGCATATTGCACAAATCTCGGTTTACTTTTTAATGATCACCATCATTATATCATTTATATGATGTCAAAATGCTGTTTTCATGCATTCATATAATTACAGTACAATTCAGTAGCGATGCACATGCAATGCTGCATGCAATGAAAATAGATGAATAGAATTGATAGGACATTAATTTTGTCAACAGGTAGCTACATGATTGCAGTCTCTATTGATAAAACAGTAAACATGCAATTACCTGAGGCAATCTGCTTATGATTATTTTGTTTCCCCTTTTTCAACGTCCCTTATTAATCGAGCACATGCAGTCGAATGCAGTCAAGTCTGTGAACTTAAGCCGCGTTTACACTTCAGGCCTAGACCTGACCTGGACCAGGTAAAGTCAGGACTAGGTAAAGCCTGTTCACATTACCAAATATCTTGCCCCATGCAAGTCAGGTCCAGGCCTAATCTATAGACCGGATAAACAACGTTCACATAATCACATCTAGGCCAAGGCCTGGTCCAGGCCAGGACAAAACACGTAATGTAAACGCGTCTTTAAACGTCGGTAAATTTAAAAACACTCCGACTTCTAAATAATTTAGTGCATATAATTACTTTTATAACGGTCGCGCACAGCAGTAAGGCTGATTATACTTGGAATTCAAAATTACGAAATCAAGTCGTACAATGACAATGCATGCACATTTTACCAGAAAGTTTGCGGTCGGAAGTGATCACAAAGGTGTACTGATATTCTTTGCATAACAGACTTAAAACACGAGGTTTTTTCTTTGTCGTACTAAAATTTATGCCATGTCTTTCTCTTGTTTGTGTGTTCTTAATTTCATACCACGTTTGTGTCTTTTAATGGAATATTCCTCATTAATGTATCTTATGTATAAATAAACCACATATAACATATTATATTAAAAAAATACTTTAACAATATTTTTGTAAATACATGGAATATAGCTACTGTGTATATATAGCGTTTTTATTGCTATGTCACAAAACCTTTCGCATAATCTATAGCACTGGTTAAGGTATTACTATACTTAGGTCGTAATTATATCCGAAACCAATGACGCAATAACAATTCTTAAAAATTCAAGCTTAATAGAAGAAACCTTTTAGAAACCTGCTACAGCTTGTATAGCAATCAGCATGATGAATTGTATTTGGACGCAAGACAATCACTAAAGGATCTTACCTTGGACCTTGTCACTTAGCATCCAAGAAACACGCGCGCAGAGGCTGGCCGAGACACTGTTTGAACGCGTTAATTTGCTAGAATCCAGAGAAATCCTAAAAAAATTACTTCATAGGAACAACTATACATTGGGTACACATCTTTACAAATGATTTCCTCTCTTCCTTAAGCTAGGGAGAATGAAGTACGTTGTTACCTTCTGTACTGATTTATGTATCACATAAATATATTGATCGACATGCTTGCTGAAAATAATTAATTTCAAATTATTTTTGGAAAGGATGTTTACTGGATAATGTCAATATTTCAATAAAATAATTAATATTTTCCGACTTATAGCAATTTCATTTGCATCTGTTAACTTATTTTGAAAATCAAACTCTGGTCTCATGCAGGTCTGTGCTGATAACACACCCCAAGTGCTTGATAAACCTCAATATTATACTTGTAATAAAATGTCCAATCAGAAAACTACATTTGTACCACATGACCGGTTGACTTTCCTCTGTGTCGCACCCGAGTCCTGGCGATTTCCGAACTGGGGTGTTATGTTAAATATTTCACACCTTGATATTAAATACATCTCACGCGACTTCTCGCGAGGATTACATGCAATTCAAAATCACATAGGTAAGAGAAAAAATATGGCAAAAGTTAGACAGACGTCGGTCTTTTCACTTTGGTTAAACATCGATGTGTTTATAATGTAGCAAATGCACCACCATTAAAACTAACTTGATTTGATTTGTTTTTGGACTGGATTTCTATCATTAGCGGCTGCTTTCATGTCACGCCTGCGTCGTAGATATTGGGTGCATCTTGAAGCCACTATAAATATCATCTATAGACCGCCGCGTATCATCGCTGCATGAGGGTAAAATATTTTTTCGAAGTCATCGTAATTTTGACTTTGAATGGTCATTTCGTATATGAACATTTAAGAAAGAGCGTGAGAAAGTGAGTTGATCTGCGCCTGTATGTCCATTTGATATGAACTAGTTCTTTTGAACATTTACCCTTACAAATGTTTGTTTGCTGTAACTGACTAACCCAAGTTAATGCACGTCATTAAAGGCATTGTTGTTTGAGTAGAACGTGACGTCTCAATACAAACAGGGGGGACAATAAGCTCATTAAACTACCAACTCATTTTTGACCCGCGTAGGAGTGAAAATAAAGCGTGATGGTTGAGGAGTTGTTTTGAGATGAAACCGATATCGGCTTTATCTTGGTCCTTGTCACTTAGCATCAGAGAAACATACAATTGACACGAAAGCTTGCTAGCTAAGAAGCTATTTGAACGTGACATGCTGCAGTCGAGGTAAATCATAAAGAAATTTTAATTGTAATTGTAAAAGCAATTATATTGCGAAACCTGGTTTTCAAGATCCAAAGAGAGAAGAAACGACTTCCTCTCTTCCTTGAGTTAAGCGAAATGAAGTAGGTACGTCGTTAGCTTCTGTGCATGTTTATATATTAGATAAATATATCGATCGGCATTCTACTGCATGACAATAAGGTATGATGCATCACAAAAAGAATGAACAATTATTTTTGGAAAGGACGTTTACTGGATAATGTCAATATTTCAATGAAATAATTTTAATTATTAAAAAAATCTTAAAAGATTTTGAGGAGATTAAGATTTAGAAAATTCCTCCTAGTGGGACACAGCCATGAGTTGATTTGCGTTGCACGCTCCTTATGCATGATCATGCATGCTATCTTTATATGTGTTATTTGTGGCAACGTTTCAGCCTAACAGCCTGAGATACCACTATCATTACTATCACCAGCTTTTCTTCTTTCTTTTTGGTGAAATACGATACTAATAACGGCACAAACTTCTTTCCTTAAAGGTTTACTTCTCCAGAAAAACACAATCGAGTTCAAACTGGAGTTGAGTAAAACGAGTGTTGTAAGCCAAATATCAACCGACATTTGCAGGTCTTTTCTAAAACTCGTCTTAAATATTGCAGTTATTGAAGATGGTAAATAACAAATGACATAAGACATCACGGCCAGAAAACATGACTTCGCCAAGTTCATATTCAACATGGCTTTACGGCGTTCCTCGTTCCACGAGCCGGCTTCATCTGCTTCCAGATTGTTTCCTTGTATTTGACGAATATTTGTAGAAGAATTTAAATTAGTGAAATAAATTTTCACATAAACGTACACTAAGAAAATGATGAAAAGCAAAACTTCGGGAATAATTACAAACTCAAAAAAAACTGGGAAACGCCAGGTTAAGATTGTACCAATGGCCGCAAGACACCAGAGAAAAATCACACATTTCATTAGTCGTTTACGAGTGACTTTTGCTCGATGAAACAGTGGGTGACATATCGCCGCATAGCGTTCCCAACTCATGACAACCAAAGTTTTAAATGAACATCCGGAAAAGAAGAGCAGAATGCAAAATTGGATATTGCTTAAATGCGGTACAATCTTCCTTGAACTATATACTGTTCCAACAATACCACTGCAAAAAGCACATTGGATACTAAACCCACCAAAAAGTCGTTAACTGACAGCATCATAATCATGAAATACGCCATTTTGCGTTTTAGAACTTTTGACTTGATGTAAGCAGTGATCGTTGCGAGGTTAAGACATATTGTTGCAATCACTAAACCAATGTTGAATATACCAAATGCCAGATTACTTGCAACTACGTTTGGAGAGGAGGCTGGGTTATCGACTGTGGAATTCATCTAAAACGGAATAAATAAATACAGTCGAACCTCAAATCTCTTCGCCTGTATGATTTATCAAACCGTGGTCTCAGGCCTGTGCCATCGACCGAAGCCGCATCTGAGGCGCATAACACAAATTGAATGCTTGGTAACCTCAATGATTAATATAGCTAAATTAAACTCAAAATTTACAATCACGAAACTTTATTTGTAACACTTGTACTCTGTGTCGCAACGCAGGAGATCGCAACCCAGTCCCAGCCTCGTTCCCAGGCGCTTTAAATAAAATAAATATAGGAACACAACAGGCTTTTACATGGATCAGTGCCTTGCGCGCTCGTTCAGCTTAGCCACTGACCTATGTAAAAGCCTGTAGTGTTCCTATATTTATTTTATTTAAAGCGCCTGTGAACGATGCTGACCCAGTCCTATATCAAATACTTCACATCGTGATATTAAATTCATCTTACGCGACGTCTGGCGATGACTACATGCATAATAAAAATTACATAATTCAGAGAAAAATATGGCGAACGCTTATAGACCGATGTCGGTCTTTTTACTTTGGTAAAATATATTAGCGAGTTTCGAATACGGAATATACCCCAAATGCAACACCAGTAAAACTTTTTCATGTCACGTCTGCGTCGAAGGTTTGGTGCATCTCAGTGAAGTCACTAAGTGCAGTATCATTTATATCATCGCTGAGTGTAAAATGTTTCTTTTTAAATTAAATGGAAAGTAAATGGCGCCGAGCCAGTCCGGTTGTTTAGTACCACAGCGTGGAATTGAAAATAAACCCTAACCCTGGAAATCGATATGAATAAACTATGACAATGTCGTAGCATAGCAATCCACCGTTGTCGCGTGTCGCTATACAAGCGGACAAACGAATAGTAATACATATTGGTGTACATTATCAAGAAAACAAAGAAACATACCTCTGAGTTCTAATGGTTATGTTCGTATACGAACTCGTAATAAAGAGCCAAAGAAAGTGTGTCTATCTGTGAGTCTATCTGCGCCAGTTGATATATGAACTTGACAGTTATTTTGACGTTTACTCTGTTGGTTTGCTCTGACCGACTAGCCTAAGTTTGCACGTCGTCAAATTATTGTTGTTTAAGTAGAACGTGACGTGTGAATACCAAGATAGAGATATGATGCTTAAAAAGAAGAGCTCATTAAATTACAAATCAGTTTTGACACGCGTAGGATTGGACATAAAACGTGATGTCACCTAAGCTAGTGAGTGACTGTGGTTCCGGGATCAAACCAATAATGGCTTTATGTACTAATATACGACATCTTCCGCATAGCGTTGGCGTACAATGAACGTGACTGCTTCGGAGCCAATCGCGGCTTATGTATAATGTAGTTATGTAATTATGGCTGAGTAGCCTGTAAAGTGAAGTGACCACCTCACTGACTGACCGTGTGAAAATTTTTTTCTTGTCGTAGGTGATGTGAGTAATACATATACACTGAACAAAACAAAAATCCGAATATTAACGTCTTGAAACAAAAAATAGATTAAAACAAGACAAAGAATGAGTTCTTGATATTTCGATTTTATTGCAAATTCATCATCTTACTTACTGCTGCATGAGTTGCGTGATGATTAGGCTGATGATGGTTTTGCAATAAAATGAAAATATCACGAACTCATTCTTTGTTATTGACTAATCAGCTTAATTATTATAGCAAGACAAGTTGTAACACGTTACAACTCTTTTCCTAGTATGAAAAACTAGAAAAAGTTGCCTTTAAGTTCTTTTGCACTCATCCCAATGACTAACTCGCAAACTCACTGCGAAGGTTTTCATTCAGTAAAAATTATTTTGTGTTTATTTTAGCTTGATGCAAATAAATCTGCTTTCCAACCTGAAACCTGCAATCCGCGACGTAGCCCGTAACGTAGATTGCGGGCGGCGGATTAGAATGGGTAATGAGGGCTCTGGACACCACATGTTTTGTTCAGACCGATTTTCTAATTGCTCCACGACGTCTCTTGTGTATTTACGCTCGTACACCCTCTTTTAATTTAAGATTGTTAGTTCCTGTTATATTGCAGCCAAAGGTTGTATATGTACATATTCGTCCTAGCCTTATATGGAATACGCTGTGAAAATAATTCCTACGTCAGCGGCAGTTGGTGTGAAAACTCGCCTGTTTCATAAACTGAATTTCAAAACGTGTATACGTCACATTTCATTCCAATTGTATTCAATATCAAAACCGAGTTCTGAAAGATAAGTTTTGGGTTTTGTCACAGTTAATAGATAATACATGGTTTGGAGACTAAATAAAAGTACAATACAACTCTTTAACTGTGTTATTGTCCAGGTTTATGCAAAAAATAGTTCCTTTCTCGTCAAATGTCTATTATATTTTAGCCAAATTTACCAATTGGCATTCATCTTGCTAAGCTCCTTAACCTTGACTTGAAAAATATGTTAATTATAAGATTTCTATTGGTTTATCTGTGCAAAATACAATAGATAAGTGATGAGAAAGGGACAATTTTTTGCATAAATCTACCTCAACATAGTTAATGAGTTGTATTGTAGTTTTATGTGGTGTCCAAACCATGCATGTATATTCTATCAACTGTAGTTTTGTAAAAAAATCAGTCTGTCATGGCGTATCCTCTATAGTAGCTTTGAGAGTTGGAGATCTCATCCAATCCAATCCAATCTATAATCTCCTTGTCTTATATCTTATCATGCAAGATCTTTCTAGAACACCCTATCCTTATTACTGACACAATGAAAAAGTCCCTTGGAATAAATTGCAATCGTCCTGATATTTTAACTCCTTTTTCCATTAACTTTATTGTTCTCTGAAATGATGGAATATGTTATACATATTGAAAGGTTCATATATTTACATTACGTCATGCAGAGACACGTTCTTTTTATGAGGCACTTGTGCAAACGTTTGTGCTATTTTTACTGCCCGCATCGACTTCCCCCCTTTCTTTTTTCCGAAATATGGAACTGATAACAGCAAAAACTTCTTTTCTTAAAGGTTTACTTCTCCAGAAAAATACAATCGAGTTTAGACTCGAATTAAGTAGAATAAGCGTTGTGGCCCAAACTTCAACCATTATTTGCATTTCTTTTCCACATTTTTCCTTTATCATCATAGCTATTGTAGATGGTAAATAACAAATAACAAAGGATATCACGGCCAAAAAGCAAGACTTCGCCAGGTTGACATTCATCATGACCTTACGTCGCCGACCGTTCCACAAAGCTAAATCGGAGCCCTGATTGATTCTATTTTTCGAACGAATATTTTTGGAGGAATATAAATTGGCAAGATAAATTCTGACGTAAAAGTACATTAAGAGAATGATGAAGACCAGGCGTTCCGGGATAATGTAATATTCGAAAAAAGCTTGAAAACGCTTGGATAGAATTGTACTAATGAGTGCTGCCAACCAGAGAAGAATCACACATTTCATTAGTCGTTTCCGAGTGACTTTTGTTCGATGAAACAGTGGATGACATATCGCCGCATAGCGTTCCCAACTCATGACAACCAAAGTTTTTAAAGAACATCCCGAAAAGAAAACCAGAAAACAAAAGTGGATTGTGCTTAAATGGGGTGCAATCTTCCTTGAACTATACTGTTCCAACAATACCACTGCAAAAAGCACATTGGATACTAAGCCCACCAAAAAGTCGTTAACTGACAGCATCATAATCATCAAATATGCCAGCTTGTCTTTTAGAACCTTTGACTTGATGTAAGCGAAAATCGTTGTGAAATTGAGACATATTGTGGCAATCGACAGAACAATGTTGAATACGCCAAATGTCAGATTATTTACAACGACTTCCAGCGAAGAGGCCATGTCATCAGTTGTGACATTCATCTATAAAAACGCTTTTATTAGTATTATATAGTTTTCCTTGACTCCTTGTGCGAAGAAGTCAAAAGTTAGAACTGCATGGTCTAACTGATTTCTATGATTTTAAAGATTTCGAAGTATATATAGGTAAAAAGTATTGACGTACCGCTCACCGGATATATTGGCAGTTGCATGCGTGTAGATCGTTGTGGAATCCTTTCTTTTCATGCCTATAATTTTTATTATTATACATTATAGTAGTAAAAGCAATTTGATTGCCTAATAGTTGACAGATAAATCGCACAATCACGCAAACTTCAGTTATCTGCTAGCAGATAACTGAGTTATCAAGTGAGCCTGCGGTGGTTAACAAGCGGTATTCATTTGAATGTATTTATGTATTAATAATTGTTATAATATAACATTTATAGTACGCGCGTGCTGATTGGTCGATCAGCGTGTTTCTATTTAACAATTAGACAACGAGTCCGAGTTGTCTATGAGCGAATAGTCAACGAAGGCGAAGCCTGAGTTGACTATTCGCTCATAGACAACGAAGGCGAGTTGTCTAATTGTTTTAGTATGCACCCTGTACCTAGGTACATTAATTTCGAGAAAATAATCGATACACCGCATTTACACCGAAAAATAATTCAATTTTATACGGTCGCGCGAGCGAAATTTTTCCCAAGCGTGCACCATCACGAATAGACAATGGTTGAGTAGCCAATCAGAATGTAGGATTTGTAATAGACGATAGTCGGGTGTATACTAAAACTGTATAGAAACACGGGAATTTTCCCGCCGAACTTGTCAAGCGAAGCGATGTAATGAGAATTTGTAATTCAATCGAATTATAACATTTGTACAAAATCTTTTTATCGAGTTATATTATAAAAGAAATAAAAAAAGGTTTTTCCTGTGTTTCTATACAGTTATGAAACACTTGTGGGAGTTTGGGAGAACTCGAAATAACGTGGAAAAACTCGCCCTACGGGCTCGTTTTCCCACCGATTATTTTTCGTTCTCCCAAACTCCCACGCGTGTTTCTATAACTGTATAGAAACACGGAAAATGTTTTCTATTACTTAAATGTATTTTTGGATGTTGCTATATTAAATAAGGTTTTTCATTCGTTAATACTATGTTTACTATTCTTTAAATGTATAATAAAATTTCGGCTCGGCTGATAACGCTTACCTCGACCTTGATAACTCACAAAAACCTTATCCAATAATTACAACGCGTTATTTACAAAGTTATTAATTCGGCATTCATATCAGGGTTTCTTCAGCTGCATGACTGCATGGGGGGTCTATATCAGTTAGGTCCTTTTTTAAGGGCTGCTTTCCACCTACGAGTTTTTTTACGCGCAGAAAACTTTAAATGCTTCCAAATTAAAATACACGCAACTAAGTTCTTTCCACGATTTATTCACTTAGCATTTTCAAATACGACATATATATATTTAAGGATTTAGACTTTTACGTGCTGTGTGTACGTGCGTATGAAAAACGCGTAAGTGGAAACCAACCCTAATGCTCCTCCCACTTATGAGTTTAAAAAAGGCTCTGCTTCACTTTAATCGACGTGATTTTCCCAGTATACGCGTCTGCCAGGCAGAGTTCTGAAGATGTCTTCACATTAGATCACATACACAATGCTTCCGGACAATTATAAAATTTTTCCAGTCCGGTCTAGCCTGTTATATTGGCGGAAACTTCTCTTCAATAAAGGTGTTGACGTGGTCAAGACTCAAAGAAATTTGATAATGTACTTAAGGACGAACATGCATGTTTTTCAATTCTCCCCCTCCCGCCCCCAATCAAAGCAAGTTACAAATAATCTGACGAATATTCTGCATAGTCGTATTTTAAATTAAACTGTGTGCACCTGGGAGAAATCTTCTTCAAGTTTATGAACCCTCGGCTATGATTAGCTCATTAACAAGAAGTCACCCAGAATCGCCTGTTCACTTGAAACACAACTCACAGGTGAAGGAAGTTATATTTTCACTAAATATAATTGTTATTTAATCATTAAATATCATTGTTAATACGAGAATTCTAGGTGCCAGGCACTGGAATAGCAGTACTATATGGAATACCAGTAGCTACTATGTGGAATAGTAGTGTCATAAATCACCCATGCACAGTCATTCTAATAGTCGAAGTCAAAATATGCATCGCATGGTTGTGGCTGAGCAAATTACTTTTAATTAAGGGTCGGTATTGAAGCAGATAATAGCTCTTCTGATCGCTCCATGCAGACTTCATACATTATCAAAAACTTAAAACATACCTCCATGCAATTTCTGTGGTAAAATCGTATGCCAACAGCGAATGAAGTAACTGAATCCGGAGAGAGTGTATATCTATGCACTTGATATTATGTTGTTTTGTTGGCTACGTAATTATGTCCACGTCCAATGTACAAGTGTTTGCTCGATCTGACTGACTGGCTTGAGTTTGTGAGCAATTAAACCATCGCAGTTTAAACGTCATTTTTGAGCACACATGCAGGACTTAAGAGTTATAATTTAAATTGCAAATCAGGTTTTACGCGTAGGAGCTTTAGCCTTATATCAGGTTGCATAAAGAGTGTGTGACTCTGTGATAAATAAACGATAATTTATGCTTTTGTCAATACGTGTGAACTCTTTAAAGTAAGATGTTAGAGTGCACGTATGTACGCGAGTCCCAGAAGCTTATATAGCTTTCATATATAGCTTATATAGCTTATATAGCTTTCATTTTCAGCCATCCATTATTAAGTAAACCATGCACATGCAAAGTCTAGTGGACAGAAGATCACTCTTATAGCTTTTAGCAGCAGAATTTTCTCATAAAATCACATAAACTTGTTTACTCGAATGGATATATCTACCGCAACCGCGGGTATATGGTGTGCCATATATATAGTTTAACCGAGCACTCTCAAATAACATTGCGGAATATCGTGTTTTGGGTAATACAGCGTTGGGATGGGGGTAGGGTGCATGGCCACAAAAAAATCACAATGGGACGAGACGAGACCCTAAAATATTTGATATTTGAACTCACTCAATGCTTAAAAATCACTTATTGGCAGTTGCTATATAGCCAAAATCGTAGCGGAAGATTGGCCTTTTGATACTGGCAACACATTATTTCAAACGTGTGTAAATTTTTTTACTAAATTCGCGAAAAAGTGGAAACGCGGAAATGAACGCGTTTATTTTTAAGCATCAGATTGAATAAGGAGGCGTACATTTCAGTAAATATCATCATATCTTATCTACCCCTCTATACTCATATATACACCCACTCTTCACATCACTCACTTAATTGTTGTCTTTTCAAAAGACGAATTTGATGTACCAAGTTCCGTGAAGTAAGTTAATTGTCATGCTCTTTAGTGCAGCGAGGAGGGTGGGCGCGATCACACTATTTTTACTTCGTGTATAGAAAAATAGAAGATATTAACGGTCCTTCTTTCCATCGTTAAAGCCGCGTTACAGTGTGAGAAATCTCTTTATTAAATGACAGAATTTCTTTGTTGACTTACTCTGCATGGTCTGCATGCATGACCAGCCAAAATTGCGTGCACTACCGCATGCATGTCTTTCCCTATTACAGATTGGAGAGCGCTTTGAATATTTACAACAAGAGAACGATTTAATTAGAAGTCGGTCCGAAATTGCAGAGCTGCCTTAGACAAGCTTCCAGCTTTTATTGATGGCGATTACGGAAGTATGAATTATTATGAAACTTACATATGTATATATTCACATGCGATTAATCTTAAAAATGTCACGAGAATTCTCAACATGATTGATTTATAACTTCGGTTGCGTGGTTGTGTGACAATACAGACGTTACAATGCATTCAGTTATGAAAAATAATACCCACATATACTTCAACTACCAGCTAAGAGAATGTAAAGCAAAAGTTCGGGAATGATCATGCACATATACTCGAAAAAAGTTGGGAAACGCCATAGGACAGCATGTACCCGAATGGCCGCGAGTAACCAGACTCGATGTTTGTGTGACAACCAAAGTTTTTAATGAACATCCCAAAAAGTAGAAGAAAAAGTTGGACAATTCCTAGATAGTGTTCACTTTCCCTTCAGCTATATTCTTTCAACTATGCTACTGAACGCGTGATAACAGCAAAAATTTCTTTTCTTAAAGGTTTACTTCTCCAGAAAAACACAATCGAGTTCAAACTGGAGTTGAATAAAACGAGTGTTGTAAGCCAAATATCAACCGATACTTGCATGTCTCTTGTAAAACTCGCCTTACACATTGCAGTTATTGAAGACGGTAAATAACAAATAACATAAGACATCACGGCTAAAAAACATGACTTCGCCAAGTTAACATTCAAGATGGCTTTACGCCGCTCCTTGTTCCACGAGGCTTCATCTGCGCCCTGATTGATTCCTTCTGTTTGGCAAATCCTTTTTGAAGAACGTAAGTTAGCAATATAAATTTTCACATAAAAGTACACCAAGAGAATGTTGAAAACCAGAACTTCAGGAATAATTACATACTCCCAAAAAACTTGAAAACGCCAGGAAAGAATTGTAGCAATGACTGCAAGCAGCCAGAGAAAAATCACACATTTCATTAGTCGTTTTCGAGTGACTTTTGCTCGATGAAACAGTGGATGACATATCGCCGCATAGCGTTCCCAACTCATGACAACCAAAGTTTTAAATGAACATCCCGAAAAGAAAAGTAGAAAACAAAAATGGAAAATTCTTAGATAGTGTTCAGTTTCTTTTGAAGTATATTCTTTCAACAATAGTGCAGCATAAAGTACATTGGATATTAAGCCAACCAGAAAATCGTTAACTGACAGCATCATAATCATGAAATATCCCATTTTGCTTTTAAGAACTTTTGACTTGATGTAAGCAGTGATCGTTGCGAGGTTAAGACATATTGTTGCAATCACTAAACCAATGTTGAACATACCAAATGCCAGATTATTGGCAACGACTGTTGGCGATGAGGCCGGGTCATAGACTGTGGAATTCATCAAAAAATGGAATACTATTCAAACAGGAGGAATCATAATTATTTCCGGAACAATGATTAACATGCAATGAATGTCAAACCTTTTAATTATGTCGTGCATCTTGCATGATTCGCTTCATGTGCTGATAATTAAGTGACAGTCGACATTTTAGTACTTTTTATTTACCAGTTCATCAGGCTGTGAATAGGATTGCACGAGAGCTGCATGGGTAACATTATCCAAAGCACATATATATATATATATATATATATAATATTATATATATATTAATATATATATAATATATATATATATATATAGAAAAGGGTATTTTAAGTCCTTTAAAGGTCACTGTTGCTGTGATCTTTGGTGTGATTTTC